TTGCAATACTGACAGACGACAATGTACAAGGATACTTATATAAGAACATACCATATATGTTCTGATCTGGTGTTGTATTGATGTTCACTTGTAGTAACCAACAAGGACAAGAAGTCGTAATTTGAACCCTATTGACAACTTGATGAGAAACTGGGAAACTCTATCTGCTGATGAGGATCATGTGATATGATTGAAAGCTCTGGACCAGCTACTGAATGGACCTCGTGGTGAGATTGTTGAGGTCAAGAATTAACTTTTGAAGTTTGTCACAGGCTCTATGAAAAGCAGCAAAAAGCAGACTGACAAAATAATATTGGATTGAGATGATTGCAAACACTGCCACACAGCTGGATCACATTAGTTGGAATACCAGTCTACAGCAGCCATTTCTCAAACCCTTGCACATCATCATATCTGTCTGTGTAATTTCAAACTGAGGCCACTGCTTCTCTCTGAAAAGCACTTAGTCTGTTTATGCTGTCATGACTCTTCTTGAAAAATAAATGTAAAACTCTGGAGCTCTATTAGTTTTCTCATGTTGCTTGAAAGACTCACATCCCACAGTGGTGATTGTCACTGTTAATTGGCATTTGTCTAATACGAGCCCCCTTTGTAGCAGTGTTTATGTAGCGGTGATTGTGATTAAATAATTGTGATTAATTGCGCCCTAAACCACCATTTATTTTGCGGTTTAGTGCTCTTTTACCTAACAAGATCCAGCTGGAATAATACCTCATCTTGTCAGTTTTACAAAGCTGTTCATTCAACGCTTAGCTCTTAGCTTTAAATGGTACCAACCTTAAATGTGTGACGACCTGAATCTTAACATCGAGAGCTATAACCCTCTGCCTGAGGCCTGCCGGTTTGTGAGGCCCTTCAGGGAGAGAACATCCCACAACTGCAGATTGTGTGCAACAGGCAGTCACACAAAACACTGAAGGACAGACAACTGTTATTGTTTCCCCTATTAATGCTGGTTGGTTTTCTTATATATATAAAAAGAAATTCAAGATCTCTCCAAATTGGCATTAAAACTAGGAAGCTGGCGTGAAATGTTGTTTCCATTCGGTTGCTCAGGTTGCGGTCTGAGCGATACAACCTGAATGTGGCATATTTCTGTGTTTCTGTTGATACTATGTCTTGTCCTGTAGGTCACACATGTGTTTCCAGTCACTGTCTACTTATATATCTGCTCAGGCACTATGTTTGATGTGCATGAGGTCACCTGACTCCATGTGCTAATCACAGTTTTATTTTGTCCCGCACTAAGTGGTGCAACAAAGCTAGCAGGAGAGTCAGTGACATGTCAGTCAATGTCATACTAAATACGCCCCCACACAGTCTGAGAGGAGATGGTGTCTGGAATCACTCTTATTCACTATGCCTTATATAACAGACACTCACTGGTTTATTCTATAGCAAGCACAAAATCCAGATATTAGATAATTTTGCATGAGAACTGACAGCTGCAGAATCACACGACTGTATTTTTTGCACCAGTAAAATGCAACACGTTACATTGTGGGACTGTTAACAGAAAGTCCTGTACAGGTCATCAACCCTATTTGTTTCATATAAAGAGCATACATTTCACTCAAAGTGCTTTTACACTACATGCCACATTCACCCATTCACACACATTCATACATTAATGCACAGCATCAGGAGCAAATTGGGGTTTAGTATCTAGACAGAAATCTTGGCCAAAGCTGAAGCCTAATCAGCACAAATAATTGAAATTACCTGTGTGGGTTCAATGTGGGTGTGTTGTGGTAAGGGTCCACCCGGGAGTGTTAACAGTTGGACAATCTTCTCACCATGAGTGATTAAAATGTCTGCTATCAGGTACATTTTTTTTTGTTTGGAAAAGTTCTGTATAAATACTTCCTTACCAGTCCGCTGCACACACTCAGATACAGGTTTGTGACACCTTGTGTGATTGCTGACATTTTTGTGCTACATTATGACGAAACCTGCATAGAAATAAATTAACTTACACACACAGAAATGATATGCTCTACCCAGGCCTGCAACAACAACACAACGAATAGCTGAGACACAGCATGGTGAAGCCACATTGAGCGAGCTTGCTGCAATAAAAAAAACATTCAACAAAATTGCAAAAGCACCAATTTTCCTCATTTCATATATAAGAACATTTCACCCAAAGCAGAAACAGTGCAACCGCAAAGAAAACCCGTTTCTGAATAGGAGCCACTTAGATTAAAATGACACAACGCAAAAGCAATAAACAAAAAAGACAGACTAACAATTTGAAGTTTACTCTCCGTCTCCCAGCTGGAACAAACTCAAGCAGAACAGCAGCAAATATGTTTAAGTGCCAAGAAAATGTTGACAAGGCAGTAACCTATTAGACTGCAAGAAACAAAGTCAGCAACAGCAGTCATCAGCCTGAAATAATTCTTCATCAAACACCTGAGAGTTCACTGCCGTCGGATCCTGTCAACCCAACAAGCAGTGGACATTTTTCAGCACACGCACTCTTCTACAGCCTTTTCACACACATAACCTTTAACTATTGAAGGTATTAAGGCTACACACACACACACACACAGGTATGTTTGAGGGCCGTGAGCGGCGAGTAATTTCCAGGGCCAACAGGATTATCAGTGTATGTTCTGGAAGATGGCAGGGAATCACCCTTCAAGTTAACGAAACAGTTAGCGTAATTGGTCTTCATCTGTCATCTCAAACAGAGCTGTGGACTGTTTGAGTCCCGGAGAGAAAGAGAGAGAGAGAGAGAGAGAGAGAGAGGGATTACTGACGGGACAGTGATGAAAATTGGTCGGAGGATAATGAGTCTCGTTGTCTTTTCATCCTCTCATCCTCTGTCTCTCTCTCTCCCTCTCTCTCATTACTCAGAGTGACTGGTCGGAGAGTAGCTTCACAGTCTGCTGCTTATTAAAAAACCCAGAGCGCCTTTAGATGAGTTCATCAGGCTCTCCACCCCTCTTTTCCCTCCATCTCTCCATCCTCCCGCCGGCTCTGCATCCTCTCATCCCTTCACCTTTTTTCCTCCCCCTCTCTCAGTTTGAACTCCTACATCCTTCCTCTCTCTGTCTTTTTATCCCTCCCTCTTCCATCTGTTTATTTTTTCCACCATCCTGTTGAGTAAAACAGCGAGAAATAGACACGAGGAGGAAGGAGAAGAAACGGAGGCCCAGACAGGGAGGGAATCAAAGAGCTCAGGAGAGGAAAAGACAATCCCCTTTGTGACAGATGAAGCTTTTATAGAAAAAAGGGGGCTTTCTCCCAATTTCCTGTTGATATTCTTTGTAGTTTATTTTTTCCCCTGCTACCCTTCTCCTTCCTTTGTCCCAACAACTCCCTCCTCCCTGTGCGTCTGCGCCACCGTGGCAGATTGTTTGGAATCAATAAAGATGGTTGTTGGCAGATGAAAGTCGTGGGGCGGGACGGTGGCTCGCTAAACACTCAATTCGCTTCACACAAATCACCGTCTGCGTCCCGCCGACACGTGACGGCTACATCCTGCAACAAACAATTAAAAACTCATGCAAATGCGCTGTAGGGAGAAGCATGATGGCACTTGCATAAATACACATATGGTGTGTTCTGACAGGCAGACAGGGGTAGATGGGATTTGGACAGCATAGAATCAGAAAGAGAAAAAAAAGAGCAAGGGGGGGGGAATTGATGATTGATGTTACAAATGAACAGGTGCTGTGATCGACCAAAAAAAATAGAAGCTATAAAGTGAAAAACTGTAAAATGATATTGCTGGCAGCAGAAGCAGTAACACTACAATATATTAATACTTAGTATTAGGCCCTGCATTCACAATTTTACTTAAGTAAAAGCGCATACATTGTTCTAATGTATCAAATTACAATGTGAAAGAGGCTGAAGTGATGAACCTACAAAGAATTATCACCTGAAGCTTCCCTCTGCTTTACTGAGCTTTATAGTGAGTTTAGCTCATTGTTTAGCTGTTCAGCAGCAACTTTACTGTCTCGGTTCACTCCCATAGTGTTGTTTATAGCCGTAGCAGGCAGCTGTTCTCAGTGAAAAGGCTTTAGAAACCTACAGTACACTACCTGCTCAGCACCAAACAGCAGACAGACGCAGTTAGAACAGATATTTCCCCTAGGAGCCGGTGGAGACCACTGACTCTGCATTCATAAGGATTCAGGCAAACAGTAGACAGCAAATGGGGTGACATGTTAGTGGATGAGAGCAGGACGGTGCTGTCTGTCTGTCTGCTCTCTACTGTTTGCCTGAATCCATGTGAATGCAGCATTAATGATAATGTGGCTTTGTAGCTGCTGGATATACAACTGTTTGCTGTATCAACTTGATCAGCGTTGTATTGCAGTGCTTATGTTGCTGAATGACCCCTCAGTAATATGTTATCACTGTATATCAAATCTTCGTCGATTTATTACTGGTTCTAGTTACCATGCCTAACAGTGAATTACACTGTTAATCAATTGGATTATTTCATATTTTGCATACATTTTGTATATTTTGTATATTGTATATTATTATTGGAAAAACACTACAGACACTACAAATACTATGATACTAATTTAAACAGTATGACCAAGCCTTATTGATGCTACTACTGCCAATTCTTTATATATCGCTGTGTAGTTTAATCTGGCAAATTATCATACCGGTAATTTAGAAGCAAGATATATTTTGTGTGTAAAACTAGTTCCAATAGGGTTTAAATAAACACTAGTGCACCAAAAAGTACAATATTTTCCTTTTTTTTTCCCTTTTTTCTTGAAATGTAGTGAATTAGAAATTTAGTAATATAAAATAGAAAAGGTACAGTACTCGAATAAATCTGCTTTCCACCACTGCTGACGGATAAACATAGCCCCATTTTTCTGACTCCTTCACACAGACAAGAGAAAACTAAGAAGGAAAAATTCATGTAAAGTGTTCCCTCATGACGCCACAGCTCACCGACTCGTATCGCATCCTCAGAAATAATCAATTCATACACACCAGGAGCCTGTGTGATTTGTTTTAATAAGCTTTTGTCATTGTCTCACATGCACACATACTGGAATCCCAGTATTCAAAGAGCACAGGACACATAACTCATAGGGTGCTGTAAGCTTGATGCAAAGCTACCACTGATCACAGACAATAAAGGTCAAGTTAGAGTGCAGCACAGGTACAAGGTAAGGTACACACAGTCTATTTTTCACAAGAATTATTAATATAATTTCACAGCTTCATCACAGCACCTCTCTTAACCTCAACCATTAGTGGCAAAAACAGAGAAACTAATCAACATCTGCACAAGAGCGAGTGTGCACTTCAAAAAAGCAATCATCCATTTAGGAGTTATCTTCCTGCTGAAGAAGGGTCTTGATCTGTGATGGCAGTGAGGAGGAGGAGCAGGAATCTGGATGTTGAGCGTAGTGGTACGTATCCACAGCAACCAAATCCACTCTCTCAGAGTTTACTCTTGACAGCGGTCTCTGTGGAAGCCGGGAGAGAAAAAAAATGTAACTTGTAAAACACAGGAAGAGAGCATTTCACCTTGGTCATGCAGCGGTTAATAGCATTTTGGCTTTTGGATCGTCTGGTTGCTTCAGAGGGATCTGTTAGCGAGGATTAGTCACTCTCAGTCCAACATGGCTAAGGACAGACTCAAAACATGCAAACACACACACGCACACACACACATCAAACAGACAGCCAGTGTGGGTAGTGCCAGGTGTTGGAGACACATAAGGTTTATAGTGGAGAGTTGGAGGCCTGCCTGCAGCAGCTCTGTCACACAGACAGACAGTTCCGGTCCATCTACCAGCCAAGCACCGCTACTGCTCGCTCACTGCTGCTACAAAATCTGCTGCACATCCATTAGAGGAGAAAGACACCAACAGCTAGCACAGGCTTTTTAAAGGGACACACCTGCATTTGTGGAAAATTAACTCTTTACTCGACCGACCCAGTGTGAAGATGTGCTGATTTTGTGCTTCCAGTGAAGAGTTGATGCTGTCTCACAGTTAGAAACTGCAGCATGTTGAAGCAAAGAGTTTGCCTAATCACGGAAGTGAGAAAACACAGCCTCTAACTCTAAAGCTGGATGGATCCGTGGTTCAGTATTCATTATATTAAATAACCATGAAATCAAAGCTTATATTACACATAAGTCTTTAAAGCAGCATTTATTGATTTATTTTGGGCCAGTTGGGGGAAGAGGAACAAGCTGTAAACACAACACCAACTTATTATGACCTCAAGGTCATTAATACATGTTGGTTTCCAATCTACACACAGGAACAGAACAACTTTTACTCTACATTAATTTGGAGTCTAGTTTCTGGAGAAGTCTAATATTCACACTCTTTTTTTATTGGCTTTGGTCTCTATCACCTCCTGCGGGAAATATCTGCACTTTAACTCCTAAATACTCCACAATGTTCACCAGCTTGTTGCTAGAAAGACACTAAAATGCTTTGTGGAGCAGGCGAATATCTGTCATCTGATCCATTGTTATATATACAAATATACATAAGTGATAATGTAAATTAGCTCAGCTTTTAGTGATCAAGCCTTTATTTGATAAAACGTAAATATATCTGTTGACAATTCATTTTCCTTTAAGTTAATTTTTGTGCGCTTTGTAACCACTCGAAAACATTTGGGGACTGTGATTCATGATTTCCTCTCCAACCACTAACTGAAGTTATAGTTTAGATCTTTTCTTTGAGGCACAATAGAAATCAGCTGCTGCAACCTTTTTATTTTCACTTTCAGCTTACTTTATTATCAATTTGCAGCTCCCCCTACCCCCCCCTTTTTTTTCTTTACCAAAGCCTGGGTTCTGTGTTGTACTGAGACTTGTATATGTTTCTTATTGTCAAGATATCTCATGAAAAGACTAAAACAAACAATGTGATAGTCAATCTTTCAGTACTTTCTGACTTCCCTACCCTGTCTGAGGCACTCTGGTTCATACATAAATAATTAAAAACTATTCACAAATATATAGTTTTATTTTATTCTTTAAAGGGTGAAACAATTTCCTGGGCACTGCGGTTTTTTGTTTCCTTTAAAGTTGCATATATTATAATTTCAACAGTGAATTAATTCACTCTCAATGCTCAAGTGTAACAAACTACAGCGCCTGAGTTAATGCTAATAAAAGAACATGTGCAATAGTGCGGCTTGGATTGATGTAGTTTTAATAGTTTATGACTCTGTGACACAGAGGAATAAGATGTATCACACAGCTTTGGCTACACAGGAAAGATCAATTCATTGACATTTTCGTGGGATTTGTTGATCAGTAAGAGAAACAAAGAATATCACCAGCCTCATCCTTTAAGCTCATACTCACAATTGCACATTATATCATATGTTAGAGCTATTTCTGCTTCGTCACTGCTACGTTTTTATCTACAAAAAACTCCTTAGTAAACTCCCTACAGTACATATTCAGGTTTTTGTTGAGAGAACAAGGGCATTGCAGTTTGAGATCCCATTATTTTTAGCGATTGATCTTCCCTGTGGCCCTCATTGAAATGAGAGAGAAATCCTTCCTGGTATCGGCCACTACTGGTCGGATCTGTCTGCAAAAAGATAAAAAAATGAAGACTCTTGTCTGACTTTAAAGCTTATGTGAGAGATACGGCTGCAAAGTTGATTGGATTCCTCTCTTATTTTAAATAGGCTGCTCCTCTTTTCTCTCTCGCTCTTCTTTAAGTCCTTTTCTGTCAGGCCATATGTGTAAAGTGCTTCAAATCCTCAGTTCGTTGTGTGTTTTTATCTCGTCTTATGTATTTAAGTGTGTTTGTGTTTTATGTAAAAAACTGCTGCTCTTAAAACATACTCTGAATTATAAAGGTAAGAAAAGTATGTTATATGTCACGCATACTGTACATACGTATATTGCCTTGAACTGTTGAGCAGCGTGCATATTAATGTTATACAGAGTGATATATTTAAACCTAAGAGGCATTTCTCTGTTGCTTTGACTTTATTGCCACCGAGACGGTGAAGTTTCTCCTTTCATTTAAAATTAAACACAACACTCCCTGCTTTGCTGTCAATATCAACCTCGCTTCACTGTGTTGGCTTTCTGTTGTTCGTGCTGCCAAGTTTTTTGTTGACAGTACAGTGTGTGAATTTGTGTCTGTTTGTTTGGTTTAATCTTTGGTTTTGACTTTTTCTTATTTCAGTTCATTTATCGCTACTATTTTTGTCTCATATCTCTGGAAAGTGGAAATATAAACATGAATAAAGACTATTCTAATTGCTTTGTAAGGACTAAAAGCACAGTCCGGGTTGTAAAGCCATTAATTCAGGTCCACAGTTGTTTAAAACACCAACTTCTGACTGTGCATTGAGAATATGAGTTTGAGTGACCCTGAATAATTCAGGTAATATTGTGCAGGACTGTGCAGCTGTACAAAACTTTGACGGTTTTCGTCTCAGCAACTTTCTGATTGTTTTGTTGTCTTAAGTTTGGCTTTTGCAGCAGCTGTGGGTTCAGGTCACATGGAAAAATAACTGTTTTATAAAAGCATAAAGCATGTTCCTCACTCTCAAAATGTTTTGGAGGCAAGAGGTGAGTTTGATTTATAGCAGTGGTAAAGCAAGACATTAGAGGTTAAGGCTGCAGTTGTAATACCAATGCTTAATTTGAATAATTGAGTGAATGACTGATCATGCTTAGGAGCCCAGACTGCTTGGCATTATAACACTATCAATCACGAGTGCAATCAAAGCAAATGGGTGAAGTCATCATGTCACAGCTCGAGCCAACATAAAATTTACGTATTTACTAAACTTCATTTAACTATACAGATCAATCTGCAATGATGGCAAACGACTTTCCTTTTAGTCCGTTTTTGAAAAGCAGGTTAAACTGGACTTGCAGATTGACAGAGGAACCTTGGCGGCTTAAAACGAGGTTGTTACTTTTTCATTTACACCAGATACCTTTTACCTTCGGAGGAAAAAGGTTTTCACATTTTGTTTTCAACAGTTTGCAAACTAGCCAGCTTGAGACCAGCAGTGCCCGTTACTTGCATTGGAAAGAATGCAAAAACCCATTTTTATTTAACTGAGGTGCAAATTCTGTCAATTTATTCACAAAAAATATGCTGTTTGGAGGAAATGTCAGGGTTTCCCTCTATGAAAACATAATTTACATTTCAGGCAGCGCTTAAAGGACCAGTGTGTAGGATTTAGTGGCATCCAGCAGTGCAGCTGCTGATTGCAATGCCCTTGCTTCACCCTCCTGTTCCAAAGTGTGTACAAGAAACTACGCTGCAAGGCCCTCTAGAGCCAGTGTTTGGTTTGTCCGCTCTTGGCTGTAGAAACATGGCGGTTCAACATGGCGGACTCCATCAGAGGAGGACCCGCTCCCTCTGTAGATAAAAACGGCTCATTGTGAGGTAACAAAAACACAACGATTCTTATCTTCTTTTCAGGTGATTAAACACAAACGAAAACATTCCTATGAACATTGTATTCCATTCCTGCCAATATATCCACACTGGACTTTTAAGACTGCCATCTACAAGCAAACTAAATGTAGTTATTCCTGTTGTTAAAGCAAACTACATATGCTAATACACACCATGCTGGTTACCTGAACCATAAGCTGCTGTCATTGGTCAGGCTAAAGGGACGGACACAGAAATGAGGGCAAAACACAGATGATTGGCTAAGAAATGTCTCATTCAGTCCTCAAATGCCATCTTCTCAACAATGTTCTCTGGACTCAAAACACATAGCCTAATGCTCTCAACGGGGTTAGTCATACACGTATTAAAGGAACAGTTCAGCCTTTTTGCATTTACACCTCACTTGTTTATATTGGATAGCTATCCAATCCTCCCAAGACACATTAAATGGCTAGAGTGAGTATAAATCTGTATACAACAGTATAAAATCTTCAGACCATATCTGACAGCTGTGATATAGCTGGAGACACAGCTCAGAAGCTTTGGCTGAGTGAATGAACTGTTGTTTGTCAAGAAACAGTTACAGCCCACAACTTCCCCTGAGATAACAAATTGTCATATTTAAATTTCTGTTCATATGCAAATTAAATAAATAAGACATAATGTGTTTGCCAGCTTTAAAGGTGCTGGTAGATGTATTTTTGAACTTAGAGTCAGACGAGCTGTTTCCCCCTGCTTACAGTCTTCATGCTAAGCTAGGCTAACAACAGAAAGAAAGAAAATAAACAAAACGGTATTTTTTAAAATGTTAACTAACTTAAGTCCTTTAAGTGTTTTTACTGTGCCTACGGGAGTCCCTCAGGTCATAAAATATGTTCCAGTAAACACATCAGAAAAGGGAAGTAAGAAGTGTCTCAATTTTAGCGGTGCAATAAATCTAAGAATTACATCTAATCTTTATTTGTTTTACTGAAATTATTCCAGACCATAACTTACATGACGTATGTGTAACCCTGTATCAATATTTAACATTTAACACAGTGTCTTAACTCACCAGAACAAATGTCTGACACAAAGACAATTACTATCAATCAACAGAATTTGTTTTCAAATATATTTAATTGATTAAATAAATAAAATCATGAGTGAAATACCAAGGCAGTTTGTCAGTTCTGGAAAAGGCCATTCCAATAAACAGAACATACATCACATGTACTGTATGTCAGTACGGTTTCTCTGAAGTGTGTGTGTCTTTGCATGTCACTGCATACATGTGTGCGTGGGGAACAAAGTTTATGTTTACATGATGTTGTTAAACCCAATTAAGCGTGCGATATATTCACAGTATCACACACAGTAATGGCCTCGTGTATATGTGAATGTACTGGATGTGCAAATAGCACACAGTGGATGATGCAGAGTATTTATCACACCATTGTGTGTGTCTCTATTTGTGTATGTAGCTAAATTGAGCTGAGCTGAGCTGTCATCACTGTATATAGGCGAGTGTGTGTGAGTACAGTATGTGTGTGTGTGTGTGTGTGTGTGTGTGTGTGTGTGTGTGTGTGTGTGTGTGTGTGTGTGTGTGCGTGTGTGTGTGCGTGTGTGTAAGAGGGAGAAACACAACTCACCAGCAGGGAAGTAGAGCGGGAGATTCTGCAGATACAGCTCCTTATCCGTCGGCAAGAACACACAGAAGATGACTCTGTCCAGCTGACACAAACACACACACACACACACACACACACACACACACACACACACACACACACACACACACACACACACACAGATACACACATACAATGACCTTTATTACAAGCATATGCAATAACCGTGAATTCATCAGTAGCAGGGGGGAACAATGTAACAGCGTGTGACATTGTGCAGTGGTGATATCAGGAGAATGCAGCTAATGCATCAGTCCATTACTCCTCTATTAGCTCCCTATTATGATCATGCCACAACACAGAGCTTATTAGGCTACACTGTGTGTTGGAGTGCTACAATGTACTCTCTCTCTGTGTGTGTGTGTGTGTGTGTGTGTGTGTGTGTGTATGTGAGAAAGAGAAAGAAAGAGAAAGGAAGAGGTTAGAGAGAAGAGAAGGTCCTGTGTGGGTCTATATGTACTTCTATTGTATGTGTTTGTTTCTATGATGAGAAAAGTAACTTTGTCTGTTTTTGTGCATGCCCCTGAGTGTTATATTGAGTGTGTGTGTGTGTGTGTGTGTGTGTGTGTGTGTGTGTGTGTGTTCGACACCAGGCCCTCAGTTTCTCTCATTACTGTGTGAGAAACACGAGTCAACTCCACCCAGACTCACCACTACACTCACACACATACAGAGCACATAAAGCCATAAATATAATAGATTTCAAATAATATAAAGACACTGGCCGAGTGAGTGCAGCTATTTCACAACCATAAACAATCTTTATGCCCTGTGCTCTTGTGTTCTTTAGATCCTGGCTCGGCAGTCTATAATATCCACATTATATTCTGTAAAGCTGGACCTATAGTACAGTACACAGCACTATATGCAGCCTGGTGATTAAAGTTACTGTAGCTAAAGATGCTTCCAGGGATAGAAGCTCCACTGTGTGCTCTTATTTCTCAGACTCTGACAAACATTATTACCAACCTAATGTCTCTACAAAGGTTTTGATCTTTCCGTTTTGGGGCAAGGCAGTGCAATTTATAGCCAGGCTGTTTCTATCACTTTGTGTCTGGTGTGGGAGTTTAAGTCTCTTTGCTTTCAACACAGACATTTCAGCTGCCTGCTAGCCCGCAGCCCGTGTTTTCCAGTCCCCGCTTGTTGCACAATTACCATCACTTGCCCGGATTTGAATGGAGGCAAAAAGGAAAGATATGGAAATGTGTGGTAAGTAACTACATCCCCTGGGCTAGGGTTCGAAATCTCTAACCTCCACACTGAGTTGCCTCCACTTGCGCCATTTTGTAACCTCACTCATTCAAATTAAAGTAAAATGGCCTCCAGAAAACAGTGGGGAGTTCATTTTGATACTATTGCGACAGGGACCCTGGAGATTCCAAAGCTAACAATAACATCAAGTGAGCGTAATGGGCTCTCTCAGAACTGCCTGTCTGTAAGGGAAACACAGGGCCTGTAAATATTCTTTCTTTCTTCTTTCTAAAAAACAGAAAATCTGTTTGCAGTAAAGTTTATTTTTCTTGTACGGATTCCAGTTCACTGACCTGTTGTGGAGAATACACCGGGAACTAATATACTTTATAAACATCCCCAATTCAACCGTGCCTAACCTTCCTTTAATAATTAGTGTACAATTGATACTGTACATTTTTTCATGTATATTAAAATGTAAGTCTTATCGTATATAATATATCTTATATTAGTTGTATTTTAAAATGTGCAAACCAATGTGTACGATACAGATCGACGCCTGGATATGAACAACCTCAGCCAGTGTTTCATGTCAAATGTTCCTATAATAGAAAAAGTGTCACTATCCAATGACATAGAGGCTGTATATCAAAGAAACTACAACTTTTTTTTTTTTTTTTTTTTTTTTCATTGCATTAGTGCTTGAGATGGTGTTTTTTTCTTTTTTTTTGTTTTGGGTTGTTGTTCTCTAGTGCGACATCTGTAGCAGTGAACAATATAACCTTGGATTGTGTGTTTATGACTGTGTGATCCGCTACATAACATAAGCTGGAACTGAGAGCTTTTGGGGACACAGTAACTACCTTAGAAATTCAGCAGTACTTAAAAAGCCAGAGTTAGTTCGAGTTAGAGAATTTTATACGTCTGATGACTAAAAATGGCTAAGATCTAAAAAGATTATCATAAAAATGTAAGCTAAGCAGCCAAACTGGGTTATGTTAGAATGAAACAGTTTGATCTCACAGTTTTCTTTATCATACTTATGTCTAGGGCTTCTGGGAAACAATGTTTGTTTAAGACTGTTAATAAAAAACTTATAAAACATATTAGATTTCCATTCTGTAGACATATGAATCGAGTCTCACGCCACACTGTTGAGAGAGAAACTGTCCAAAGCTTTATTTTTAGTTATTGGCATTGCTACAAATGTCAGTGGGATTTTTGAATGAGGTTTTCTTACCTCCTGGTTTCACTTCGGTTGTCTATGTGCTTAACAGGCATAGCAACGGTAACTAAGGGGGATGGACTGAATTTCATGACAATTGGAGAAACAGAAGATCGAAAGCCCCAGAACAGCTAGTAAATGGCCCTTGTGGAGTAGATCATTTTCTCAAATGTCATACTGTAATGACAGTTTTGTTAAAACTTTCTGGTCGACTCTGAATGTAATTTGTAAAACTATGAAACTGCCTTGGGTATTGCTTTCTTTCTGTGTTTTACGAATAAATGATTCATGTTTTTATTATTACACTTGATGCAGAGTGTTGGCACATTGCCCAGTTTCTTGAGTCCATTTGTAACTGTGTCTATAATTTTCAATTTCATTTTCTACATTACTGCACTCCAAGCCAGAGCAAGCCCAACAAAACGCACTGTAAAAAATGTAAAATGGAGGCTGTTCAATTAAAGAATAAACCCAGTTTCCTCTGGTGCACATTCCTTCTTTATATGTATGCAAATAAACTCCTTCTCATTTGTTCACAATAAAACATTTTCCCCCATTAAAAAACACAGTGGAACCATTTCTGGGCAGGATGTAAATTAGTGCCTTGTTGCTTTGGCTTTCTGGTCTTATTTTCAGCCATTTAAGTCTTGTTGACTGTTGTCCTCTATGCTGAGACATGTAATGTTCGTTTGTTGAACTCGAGTGGCTGACGGCATCTGTCGGCTGGTATTGCCACAGAGACTCTGGAGACTTGAGCGCTAACAATAACATCGTCAACACCCTCTCTGGGAGGTGATACAGCACAGCGGTTAGAGAGGGAAAGAAAGATTGAAAAGAGGAGTGGGTGGAGACCTGGAAAGTAAAGGAGGAAGACAGGAGGAGAGTTTAGAGCATGTAAACGAGTGATTGGAAACTTTCCTTTTTGTTCCCCTATCACCCCCCTCTCTCTCTCTCTCCCTCCCTCCCTCCCTCCCCTCCAGTCATCTATTCCATCATTTTGTCTTTTCTCAGCTTGCTGTTTCTCCGGAGAGAAAGTGTGTGTGTGCGTGTGTGTGTGCGTGTTTGTCAGGTTTAGTCCCGCAAGGAGCCAATTAAAACGCAGACTTGGCCATGAGCATAAGAGCCAGAGCTTGGGCGTGTGTGTTTTAAATGTATGTTTGTGTGTGTGTGTGTGTTTATGTGTCACTGTGTGTGTGCGTGTCACAATGTGCGTGTATGTGTTTTCTCAATACACCCTTCTCCCCGCTCCCACCAGAAAACAAAAACAACAGCTGTGAAAGGAATAATACCTAGAGGAAATGGTAGGGAAAAATTGCCAATCACACACACACACACACAAACATACACACCTTGTCATGATGTTCATCCAGATACTCCCTCACAGTTGCTAACGCCTCGTGCACAGCCTGCTCAGGTGGATATCCTGTACCATCACACACAAAAAAGCAAAAATAAACACACAATTTACAAGAACAGGTGCAGTGACACATCTGTGTGTTTGCATTAGGTCGCTGTCTGTGCTGTTTTTTTGTTTTTTCCACGACAGGTATGTGTTCTTCTCTCCACTATTCTAACACTCCATGTTCTGTGTTTTCTCACTTCCTCTCATTCCCGACTCGCCTATTCCGGCGAGATGCAGGCACAGCACACTTGTTGGTTACGAGGAGACAGATGGAGGAAAAACTACTGTGCTTCTTCTATATTCATTCAGCGGCCGAGACCTTTCAATGCAGGAAAACTATCCCCACTGCTGCAAACGCAACACAAAGGCAGTAAAAATCATCATCTGGCCAAACAAACATATGGAGTGTGATTATGCAGTAATTATTCCATACATCAGGAGAGAGGGCTCGACATGTAAACATAGGGGGAATACATGAGAGCGCAAATTAGCACCGAACAATGTTTCAGCATCAAGACAGAAGATACACACATGCAGCATTCACACTACGAGGGATGTAATTTACTTTTACTGCTTGATATGAAAAAACACATTTCCATAACTAATGTTAGTCAAGTAGTTGTTTTCATCATGAATAAGCATATTTAAAATGAATAAACTTTAAAGCCCTGCACACCATCCATTCTGATCTCTTGCTACAACAAGAACACAACACTTCCCAGAGAAAAGAAATGTTCCTACTGAACATAATCAAGGAAGCAATTACCTGCAAAACATATTTACTATCTTTATTAGTACATTGAGTGAAGTGACCTCATGTAATTCCCAGCATAGGTCTTCCCACTAAACTGTAACCAGGTTTAATCAGCCAGATTGATTGAAAACACCAGCGCAGTGCCTTGAAGTCCTCTTTGGGTTGCTCAACTGAATCTAAATGTTTTTGGTTTTCAGCGCTCGACAACAAGCCCTGAGGTGGTTTGTAGCTTTACTCAAAAACAGGCCGACGCAGAGGAAGACACTGTTAACACACCGAGTCAATCACAGCTTTGGCCTTTTCCTCTATCTAGCAACAGGGGAGAAGTGTCGACAACCAGCCCTCACACCCAAACCCGGCCCGCAGAGTGTTTAAGCACTATCCTTAACTCTCTCTCCTGCCAGTGTGAAGGGGGATTACAGTCAATCTGACTCAATCTCTAGCCTAATCTATCTTAATCTGCTGGTCTTAATCCAAGGCCTTAATCTGAGAACCACCTCTGGGCTGCAGGAGATAATGTGACAAGTGGCACCCGGGTGGCTCAGCACTCTGGTTAAACAGAAAGACTGATACTGGAAACAAGCATGTGATTGAAAACGCAGCCTGTGTGCTCAGAGTATAAACACAGGCACACAGACACTGTTGCTGTTGGTGCATGGACATGGATGTTGTTCTTGCTCTCTCACCAGTTTTTCATATAAAGCCCTAAGCAGCCCATAAAACCTTGAAATAAAACTATGACAATTATAGCACACACACACACACACACACACACACACACACACACACACACACACACATACACACATACACACAGCAGATGGAAAAGAATCATGCATTAATTCTGGTTTGAGGAGTAAACACACACATAAACACAGACACTGACCGTAGATTCCAGTGGAGATGCAAGGGAAAGCCTGCAGAGTAAAGATGTCAAACAAAGTGGTTACAGTCTGTTGCTGATCACATAACAGCCCGCTTTCATCTCTCTCTGACACACACACACACACACACACACACACACACACACACACACACACACACACACACACACACACACACACCAATGCATAGAGATCACACTCTCTGTTGGATCTCGATGGAGTCTTTATCCTGATTGTTTTTTATGGCAGCCTTTCTTCTCTCTCTGATTTTCACATCTATTTAAGGACCAAACTGTTGATCATCCTCTGTTATAGAGGTCTGGTGTGGAAGGACTTCCTTCCTCAGCTACAATTTACATCACTGTTGGGTCTTAACCAGGCATTATTATAGTAATTATAAAGGTAGGTGTTGCAAGCATCTAGAGGAAAGTATCACTTATATACTGAAAGTTATTATATTTTAATTAAAAAATGTTAAGGTTATAATCTAACACAGTTGAGACCTGCTTGATTCTTTTGCTAGCCGCAAGTGTGGTTGAAAAAACAGCATTACATGTCATAGAACCATTATCTTATACACCGATCAGCCATCACCTGGGCAACTTGATGATCATAATGTTATGGCTGATCTGTGTGTCTTGCTATATAATAAAGGCATAAAATGCTGTTGGTGGATTTAACTGTTGTTCCTATGCATACTGGCAGCAAAGAGATCTCTTCAATTTCAATGATGTCCAGTTCAGACTACAAGCTAACATGAGCCTTCAGCTGTCTGAATTAGCCAAATCAAGAAGGAATCTTCCAAAGTCTTTTTAGTACCCAATTCCCTCTTGCTGTCCCCTCGAATGCATCTCAGCAAGGGGACACAGACTAGAGAACCACAAAGAGGTCACTTGACTCTAAAAGACTGTAATTTTGCTTCATATTAGCTTCAGCTGAACCTGAGTGCATTTAGACACAGAATAAGGACTCACTTACATTGAAATTGATTACTTTGTGACCAGTATGGGCAACAGGAACAGTTACAAAGACCAATAACTCTTTCAATATGAACATGTGAATATTGTTTCAAGACAGATTTAAAGACAGATGCTCTGTTTGCATTAGCAAACACACCTCTCATACAGCTGTAGGAGAGCATTTGGTAAATTACAGATTTACAAAAAGTTAAATTTAAACACATGCATGTATTGTTTCCTGTGAATCCCTCGTGAGTGAGTAGGTGATTTAAACTTAATCAGGAAAGGCAAACTACCCAAATAACAATAGTATCTACTAAACAGTGAGGTAATTATTGAATGTAAACACTGAAAGGTTATTGCTGCAAATGTCAACCATAAATAGTTTCAAAAATTGTTTTTTTTATAAAAATCTATGGATAATAATTGTAAGTAATTGAGATCCACGTCAGGCAGGTTCATGTTACACCACTGGTTGAGAGAAGTAGCCAGTAAACTTCAAAGTAAATCAAATCTGGCAGATTCTCAACCTGCTGTCAAATACTGCAGTATGAGCAGATGCCAGGATGCTCTCTGTGTTCGTTTGACCAGATTGCAGAGTTGGCAGCTCATATTGAGCACAGACATGACTCCTTAAGACGAAAGGTAAACAGAAAACTGTTAAAAAGCTTAATGGGCTTAAAGGTTATATATATTTATATATATATATATATATATGATATTTTGAACATTAATATAGCAACAAATAACAATTTGCTACATAAATATATAGTTAAGAAACGTCACTCTCCCTCTGTGTGTGTTGTTCTCTGAACCTCTATGTTCGTTGTTTATATAGACGGGAGCGTGTGCATGCGAGTCCTTCTCTGTGCAACTGTTGAAGAGAGCGACAGCGGTTTCTTTTCAGGTCTAACTCAATGAATTAAAGATTTATTGGGACCAAACCAGAGGTAGAGATTGTTGGAACAGTGGAAGGACTAACAAAGACACATTGGTGAGTTTATTTTGTTTTCATCCAGTTTGAATGATCTTATGATGTGACCATGATCTGCAATGTACATTCTTTGTCAATGGTGTCTGGTGGCGAGTTATATTGATTTATTGGCTGTTTCTGGTTAAACAAAAACAATCTTACTACTTGACAAAGTAGTCTGTAGGGATTCTTTTCATAATGTTGTCAGCCAATGTTAGTGGCAAAAACAAACACTTTTAGTGGACGTACTTTGATGCATATGTCCCCAAGGATTAACTACGTTACTGTCATTGCAGCTTGCTTCATGAATATTTTTACATCTTACTCTGTGAATTAAGGGTATATTTCAACCAGCACTGGTGAGTTTTATTTCACAATAAATGCTGTAATTGTTTGTTATAAAACACAAACTGTTTGCCGCTGATACATTTCTAGTGTTTAAAATTCTACTCTTGAGCAGGAAACTACAAATACACATTTATCACACAGCTTTCGTGAGACTGTTTTCTTCTACTGTACCTCTGACTTTATTTTCATGTTGCTTTGGTGTTTTTCTTTGACTTTAACACCTCGTTCTATTGTGAAACCTCCCGCCTGGTGTGTTTCATAAAAAAACTCAACAATCCTACCTGCAGCTCCTGTTTCCCTCTCTCCATCTATCTTAGTTTGAATGTAGTTTCCTTTGTAAAATCTTAATGTGATTAATTGTTTTCTTTCTTTAGCTCAGGTTTCTGCCTTAACTATAGAATCATTTACACAATCACCAGTCCTTCTTTCTTTTCCCATTATTAATCTTATTTGTGCACCCCAGTCTTCAGTTGTTTCTTCCTTTAACCTTCTCTCTCTTTTAAGCTAATCTCTTAGATCCTCTCACTCCTTTGTTATCTTCACCACATCCATCCATACTACCTTCCTCTCCCCCTTCTTGTTTGTCCTAGCATTCATCCCCAGCTTCCATCATCCCTTCATCTCATCCGTTTTTCCTCACCACAGAACGTGCAGCGTTTTTGGTGGCTGCAGTCAGGCTGTTCTTGTAGCACGACCTCAAGGCTTTCTTCTCAACCTCTCCCACTCCTCCTTGTGCAATCGGCCCCACTGTGTGGATCACATCTGTGGAGATGGGGAGAGAGGGGAAGGAGAGAGAGAGAGAGAGAGAGAGAGAGAGAGAGAGAGAGAGAGAGAGAGAGAGATATTACCACAGTGTGACAGGTATGAAAAGAGGGTAAAATGTTAAATATAGTATATATATAAATAATATATATAAAAATGTAGCCCTATGATGACATAAAAAGTCCATATAAATGAATATAGAACTGAATAGAAGCTGTTTATGTACTATATCCTGTATCTCTATCATGTCCTCCATGTTCTGTCAGGGACTTTAAAACATGGTGGACATGCTTTAAATTCCCTGACTGACTCACACTAAAATATTCAACTTTGTTCAAACTAATGAGTATCAGTTAATTTAATGGTAAAATCTTGGCTGGAACAGATAACGTTTAGTTTGGTTGATTATTGCCATGTTCATGTCACGTCTGAGTTGCTGTAATTTAGTTTTACGACTTGAACAGTCAGAAATACGACTTGGAAAGTTGGATTTTTCTGACAGCGAGTGACAGTGTCTGAAACCTCTTACTTTCAGGCCAGGGAAACAGCACAAACACATAAGGACAAACAGCAACGCCCTCACATCAAAACATGCAGGCCCGGCTTTAAGTATCGGATCTAAAACTGCCGGACCTCCATCATCCTCCCTCTGGCTCACGTCATGATGTCGAAAATATAATATGATCCTACCCACAAGATTTTTTTCCCTAGTTGTTTTATATTCATTTAAACTATCCCTTATGTTGTTAGGTGCAAAATATTGGCAAAGGTAAAAGGTGACATCAAAAGAAGAGAGCAGGTCTCAGGTCTTCATTTGCTGTTAGACTGCAAACAACAAAGGTGATATAAAAATGTTTTGTTAGGTATGATGTTAGTAATGGGAATATTTTCAGAATATTGTGCTTTCTTGTAGAACTTGAGCTCTGAAGTAGCCCTACTTTAATACCAGCGATGGCCCCAAACCAATTTGAGCTCGAGACCCCTTGCATTAGGGGCTGTGAGCAGGTTAGGTGGGAGGTAGGTTGTGTTTTTCACATTTCACACAGTAATGTTTCACCTCATAACAGGCTGAATTTGCATTTTATTTTGACTCCATTATTCATCTTCATTTGAATAGGTGAAAAAAAATGCAGCTGTGGGCATTTAGAGGTCTGGAACCAGGTTACAGATGACAAACAGTGAACTTTCAGTAAAGTCCCTGCCCCTGTCTCCCATATACAGTGCACTAATAGCATTTAATGTCTGATTTTAACAGCACACCTGGGAAGCTATAACGCCACAGCTGTCACTGGTTTAGATGCTGAATGCAAATATTTTATAAATATACAACTGGGCAGGAAACCCTGACACACCTGTAAAAGAAGCTTGTGTTTGTCATTAAATAGTGTGAAATATAAAATGCATTTCCAAACTGCCGGGTTGTTTCATGTTGCAGACCAATTAGCCTGCAAGGTTCCTGATCGAACCGCATTATACGCTGCCACTGATGCCAAGAGCCAATGACCTCCAGTATGGCTGCCAGAAGATGTGTCATGTCACCAAGGAAGTTATTTTAACCTAAATGTTTTACACTCAATCTGAAGTTGTACTCACCTTAATCAAAAGGAAATTTTGTTTACAGCAATAATGTCTTGTTTCTAATTACTTTGTACATTATATTTGTCATGTTTTTCTGTCACGTAGCTACTGCAATCAAACTGTGTATTTTCTTTGTCTAGTTAATGGATTATTTTTTTTCTTCTCAGGTCTGAAAAACTAGTTCAACTGGACTAATTGATTAAATAAAGGATGAATTCATTGAAGCGTGCCGAATTAAAGGCAGAGGAGAGAGAGAAAAAATAGAGGAAATCAAGAATGTCATAAACAGAAGCTGAGTTAGGAACAGAGAGAGCTATAGTCGAGATGTGGTTTAACCAGCCTCTACACGCCTACGCCGACACTACCACACATTCTGATGAGGCTCAGCATGTTGCTCTCAGCGTGAGTACCAACGCAATGATAAGGCATAGCCGGACCACTGCCTCTACACGCACACGCACACGCACACGCACACACACACACACACACACACACACACACACACACACACACACACACACACACACACACACACACACACACACACACACACACACACACACACACACACTGGAACAAGAAAAAAAATCAATTTCAACAATACATTTAATCAAGCATTGCCACTTCTTAAAAGGATTCTTTAGGGTGAAATAATCTCAGTTTTTTCCTCTACAGATCAATCTTCACACTCTTGAATCATGTGCCAGCTCTGTGATACTATTGGACTGATCTGCAGTGTTGCCAGATTTGACTGATATCAAATCGTCCAATCAGTGACTCAAACCTGCCCAGTCATCATTAAACCTGTCTCAAACCTGCCCAGTCTGATTTTTAACTTGTACTGTAGCTTATTTGCAATGTGGTATTGTTCTCATTTCTAATCATTTAAGTTGATGAATGAAAATTAATTATTTTGAGCATTAACATTACAGTACATTAAATGGATATAACACATATTACCAGATATTACAGTTTCGCAGGTGTAGGTGACAAAGCACAGTTTGGAGGTACAGCTCCCATGATGCTTTAGAGTATGTAAACAAGAATTATAATTTCTACCATGGATTTATTCACAACTTGAGCAGTATTTGTTTACATTTGGCACAATGAAAAGAATCCTGAACTAGCTTTTAGCAAGTTCTGGAGTTATAAGCAGCTTCATATTTTTCTATAATTCTAAGTGGATATACTTATGAGTGACTGTTTGGGATGGACATTAGACAAAGACATCCTCTGGAAAGTGTAGGTGTATGAGCTATGACTCCAAGAAGGAGTGTGACTTTTTGCGCAAATTGCAGCCCTACCATGTTTTTATTGCCTCCATGAACTGCAAACAGCTCTACACCGTTGGTTTGCCATGTAGGCCAAACTAAAGTGACTAACTTCCTGTTGTCTCTCCATCAGTGCACGCCTCATGAGGCAGATTGATCTCTTTAACAATTCAAAACAATATGAACCTAATGATCAATTAGATTAAGATGGTCATTAATCCAGCACTCACTCACTCACTCACACAGACACAGACACAGACACAGACACACACACACACACTGTTAACAAGCCGCAGACTCCACAGCACAGATGAAGCCCAGAAGAAGCTCTTTAATCCAACCCTCCGAGGATAGGAGGCCATTAGGCAGAAAGATTTAACACAGTGTTTGGGATTTCTTGAAATATGATCTGGTGATCTTATTTCAAAACCAAATATACATAACAGAAGCCTGAAATGTCTCCTTGTGTCCCCTTCTCCGATACCCTTCATGGTGATTTGTGTTTGTTGTTAGAAATTGCTGTAGTTGTTTCCATTGACAAGAACATTCTGCCACCTTACCACAATCAATGGAGGATATTTGGTTAGTGATGCAGGGATCTGCTCATTATGCCCAGCCAGTGGAGCAGAGCTGCCAAAAAACTATTGTAATGTGTTTTTTCTTAATAAAAAAGCATTTGAGATACAAAGCTGAAAGAGAGAAAACTCCTTGGAAAGAGGAACTCTAGTTTAATAAATCACAGCTTCAATCTAAAGTCCCAAACATTTTGATGATGGCATTATAACATAACTGTCTTTGATACATGATTTATATTAAAACCTGCTTCGTTATTGTAATATCTATCAATTCTTATTACTTTTCTAAATATATAAGTTGACTCAACTGATAACAAACTCAATTGAAATTGATTTTCATGCCCATAATAATATCAAAAAAGGTCACACAAGGGTCAGTCACATACACAGCATACTGTTGTTGTTATTGAGACTGAATTCCTCTGGACCAGACGGGCTGCTCCTAAGCTTGAAGATATCGTCCCTGATTTTGTGACAGTACCCATTTGTTCAGGTTACATACGGTTATATAAATATTTCAATAATTTCTGCGGGTTGGTATTTTTTTTTAAGCACAAGGGAAGATTTTTCATTTTTACGTATTTGCAGAGCAGGATACTTGATTCCTTTCAACACCTAAACGCTTGTGCAGTGAAGTTTTTCCTCCTTTGAATATCTACAAAAAAATGCAGCCAGAAATTCTCTACGTTCCACATTAAAATGAACATTAAACAGGCAATTTTAGTTATTAAATCTGCATTAACAGATTTGTTTGTTGTACACAGAACACTGACATAATATCACAAATCATAAATAGCTGCGTATTCACACACCAAGCAAACACAAAGAAACATCTGCACCATGTATCTGTCCACCTAATGAACGTAAGCTGCTAAATGTTCCACTATGTTCACCAGCTAGTCACCAACTGTGTCTGTCTGCTGTTTGGTGTTGAGCAGGTAGACTACAGTGGCTTTTAAGAGGTTTTTTTTGCGCTGAAAATGGCTGCCTGCTGCGGCTGTAAATGCAGCTGGTGAGAGTGGTGTGTGAATCAAAACAGGCCATAAAAACAAAACATAGACAAAGTAGAGCTGAGGGGAACTGCAGAGCTAGGTGATAATTGTTTGTGGGTGAGTCAGTATGAGTGACCCCTCATTCAATCCAGTGGTAATATAAAAATATCCATCATACCAGCTGTAAAGACTTGTTCCTGTGCACTGCAGTGTGTGAAAGTTAACTGACTCAACTAACATACCAAACATGGGGTTGTGTGCTACAGTGTATTTTCCTTTCTCCTGCTTTACTGAATCCAGCAGCACTTTCAGCAGAATACAACCCTGCTGTAATCATTAAAACAGGACTCAAGGAGCTTTACAGCAATGGCAACTTATCAGAAAAACTATATGCTGCGATGCTTCTGTTTCCTGTGTGTGGATCAAAGTCTGTACCGCAGACTGGTATGAGAGAGTACTGCTTACAGTGGAGTTCACAGATGTGGACTGAAAGAAACATAAGACATCAAACTGCTCGCTCGCTTTGAAACTGCCGTCCCTGAGAAATGTCTTTACATTGGCATGGCTATAAGACACCAATATTCTCCTACTGCATTAATTATAAAAGGTTTATGCTATATCACTTCTTTCATATCGCATAAAACAGGATATCCAGTACACTAACAGCAGAACATTTCAATTACAGCTCCACCTTTATGATCGGTATAGATTCTTCCCCTCATGAATTGTCCATATTCATCCAGTGAAAGGATTTTATGTAGTTTTTTAGGCTTAATAAATGCAACAGTAGGCTCGGTGTAAGAGTGTGTTGGTGTTTTGTGTGTGAGTGACGAATCATTACTAAAGCTTCTCAGTAATAATGATCCTTCTGGAGGTGTCATGGGGATAATTCAGACAAAAATCTGTAATCTGTAAAAGGAGGATCCCACTTGATAACCCTGATGACTCCATCCCTCCCACAAGACTCTCCTCTCAGGTCACAGTTGTTCTAAATCTGATCTGAGTGTCTTTAGCTAAAGTGTTAATCCTCCAGCAGACACTGTTTGCAGTCTTGTCAATGAGCACCGGCTGCAGGCCTATTATATGTTAAGTGCCACAACATCAGCCAGCTTTCTTTTTCTCTGACACCAACAATAATGTACTTTACTGTACTCGTCCTGCATTACTGCACTGGTCTGTGAACCAGTAAGTGCTAAGAGAGTTCAACAATTCAATTCTGTTCATCCACATTTCATTTGATGTTGGATCAACATCTTACAAAGAAAAGGGGAAGAGTGAAGAGCAAGAGACTGTTGTGTAACTTTAAACAAAAACTGCTTTGGGGCACAGCTAAGCAGTTAGTTATCACTCATATTCATCACAAATTATTATCATTATCTATTGTAACGCTTATATCTGTAAGTATTTAATTACTTAACGTAAAGGCTATGAGCAAACCAATCTTCATCACAATATTAATCTGTATATTTTTTCCTAAATCAGTGTGTGTCATAATATGATGAATGTATACAAAAATCACATAATATATAATGTAATAATCAAACTGATGTTTAAAGTAATGACCTGCCTTCCACTGTTGGGCATTGCATTAATGTGTCAAAATAAAAACTACTGTATGTCTGCAACCTACAAATATTTTCATTATCGTTTAATTCACAGATTATTTTCCTGATTATTCATCATTTGGTTCATGAAATATAAAAACATTTTGAACTAAAATTACCGCCCCGTGGTTGTATGCCAACCAATTAATCTGCTGTTCACGTCCATGTCTGTTCAGATGTGGTAAATACTTGGAATAAAAGGTCTTAAGTGTATTTTTTGGTTAAATGGAAGTTATCACTGTATTGATGGTACATATGTATGATTCCAGTGAATAAACATAACACATGTACTTGATTACTACGTAAAGATGGATTCTTATAGAGAATAGCTATAAATGATGTGCTGCTTTTGTTTACTGACGCTTGAAATTCAGAATGAGGCATTAAGTGATTCAGCCTTTCACTTAGTGCCTCATTCTGAATTTCGAGTGTCATCAGAATCACATGACAGGAAACAATGTACCTGATGAGATGAAAATCTGAAATACTTGAAATACTGTGTTGCTTATTGTTTACTCAAAGTGTCGTTCCAGTCAACATGTGTGTGAAATCTGGAATCTGTTCCTGAGTTACAGGATTGAAAAATGGCCAAAGAAGTGTTTTTCCAGGACATTATGATGTAATCAGTTCATTGTTGTATCCCATTAAACATCTGTGTGAAATTTTCTAATAATTGCCTCATCCAGTTCTTGAGTTATGGCCAAAAACCTGTTTGCCAATGTCATTTTGTGGTCACAATGACCTTTGACCTATGAGTCACCAATTTATTGTCCGATCAATTGTGAAATACGGTCATCAATTCTTGAGTCATGGCCAAAAATGTGTTCTATGATGTCAGTGACCTTGACCTATGACTTTTGACCTCCAGATTATAATCAGTTCATCAACGAGTCCAAGTGGATGTTTGTGTCAAATTTGAAGAAATTCTCTCTCGTTCCTGAGATTTTACTTTCACAAGAATGAGACGTGATGCCTTTTCTAGAGCCCAACACGACATCTACAAATCTTTTGATCCGTCTGACCAACAATCCAAAGATATTAATTTTACAATAACATTATATATATACACAGTATGTCCAAGAAAAACAGCAAATAGTCAGTCAGCAGTGACATTTTGGCATTTTTGATTGATAACTGACTCAATTATCGAAGAAGGTCCCCATTAATGTTCTTTTCAATGTAATAATCTATATAAATCTATTAATTGACTAATTGATAATACTGTACAGACTTGAATTTTGTTAATTTTTAACCACAACTTGCAGAGAGTTATTAATTTGGATAACAGATAACATTAGTAATGAATTATCACCCAGATATACCTGATGTTCATCTGTGTTTTTAAAGCTCAATCAGTATCAATGTTAAGGCTTAAT